CAGTTTCTCCTCTTTAACAAAAACATCCTTTGTTAAGTCTACTCAATTATAAAGCTATTAATAGTGACTTTTTTTTAAGACAGGGTTTCACTATGCAGTTTAGACTACCCTGGAACTCACTGTGTAGCCCAGGCTGGTTTCGAATTCACAGCGATCCTCCTGCCTCAGCCTCCCAAGTGCTGGGATTACAGGCGTGCACCACCTTGCCCAAGCAGTAGTGACTTTTTGAGAGTTCACTCTACTAAGAATTTTATGTACATTATGTCAGTTATTTTTCATCAGAATTTTAAATTTCCATTCTTTCTAAAATACTGTAGATAACATTTTTTCCCTGTATCTTTTTAAAAAATTTATTTTATTGGTACATGTTTGCAGTACATAAAGTTTACATTATCTTAGGGAGTAGATACATGTATATAACAATCTCAATTCTTTTTTATTTCTCTTCCCTTCTTCACCCATCTCCCCTTTCGAGATCCCCTTTCCCCATTTTCATTTTTATTATTATTATTGTTGTTGTTATTATTCCCCATTTCATTATATATTGTTATTAATATATATTTTTAGTTTATGTTTATGACATGTAATTTTACATTCACTGTGGGTATTTGGTACATGTATATGACACATCTCAAATCTTTTTACCACACCCTACTGCATCTTGGACCCCTTCTCATTTGAAGAAGATCTGTCTCCCTGTTTCCTTTAATTAGTCTTTTATTTCATTCTTTATTTGTAGTTTGCATTACTAAAATGAAAGAAACCATCTGGTATTTAATCTGTATGTCTGATTTATTTCACTTATTATTTTCCAGGTGTATCCATTTTCCTATAAATGTCTCAAATTATCCTTCTTTATAGCCAAGCAGTATTTCATTATATATAGATGCCACATTTGCTTTCTCCATTTGTCTGTTCATGGACACATAGGCTGCTTCCAGGATTTAGCTATTATGAGTCATGCTGTTGTAAACACTGGTATGTATGTATCACTATAATGTGTTGTCTTTTTCTCTTTTGGAAAGTTACCTAGAAGGGGAATAGCTGGGTCAAGTGGAATTTACATTTTTAATTATTTGAGAAATCTCTTGATTTCCCTTTTAAGACATTGCCAGTCAAAATATCAATAGCATTTCTCACAGAAGTAGGCAAAACAGTTCTAAAATTCCTGTGGAAACGCAAGAAACCCAGAATAGCAGAAGCCATCCTGGGTAACAAGAGCAAAGCAGGAGGCATCACAATAATACCTGACTTGAAGTTTTACCACAAAGCTATAGTGATAAAAATGGCATGGTATCAGCACAAAAACAGACATGGATCAATGGAACAGAACAGAAAATGCAGAAACATTTTCCCCAGATGCATTCAGCTACTTGATCTTCAACAAAAGAGTCAAAACATATGTTGGAGAAAAGATAGGCTCTTTAGCAAATGGTGCTGGAAAAACTGCCTACCTGTATGTAGAAGATTGAAGCCGGACCCAGGCCTCTCACCACATACTAAACTAAAATCAAAATAGATAAAAAATCTGAATGTTAAAACAAGCAATTAACCTAGGTAAAACTCTTAATAGGTAAAACTCTTGCAATCATAGATGTAGGCACTGGAAATTTTAGAATCTTTCCCCCACAGATAATGTGGGAAGAGGGGATTACTCTTTTATAAAATTTTATTTCAACTCTAAGAATTAAAGATAGTCTTGAGATGATGGCTACTTATCATAACAAAGTTCTTTTTAAATCTGTATTTTAGATTTTTAAAATGAAGAATTCATTGTACTTTTTAAAATATTAGTATATTAATAATTGGTACCAATTTTATTTTTAAATGTAATGTCTTTTAAATCGACTTCCATGTTTAAATTATCATAGGATGCATGCTAGTTGAGATTATGGGAAGCAATAGTTTTAGTCTAAATGTAAGAAAACAATTTTGGAGATAGATCTGATTCTGAACGGGTTGGATTATGTTCCCCCCAAATACTGTGTTGAAATCTTAACTGGGTAACCGTGATGTAACATTTGGAAATAGAATCCTTGCAGGGGTAGTCATGTTAAAACGAGGTCATTATGAGTGGTGTGCTTATGGGAAGAAACAGACACAGAGAAGATGGTGTGAAGTCAGAGAGAACACCAGGTAACATCAGGGACAAAGATGGGGTGATGCCACTGCAGACCAAAGAACATCAGAGATGCTGGCAGTGGCCTGCGCCTAGAAACAGCAAGGAGGGAAGTCTCACAAGGAGTATGGCCCTGCTGACACACCTGGAGTAATGGGTTGTAGCCTCCAGAACTATGAAAGAATAAATTTCTCGTGTTCTAAAACATCTAGTTAGTGGCAGTTTGTTACAGGAGCCCTGGAAATTAATGTAGACATTCACCAACTGTTTGGTCTTAGGCAGTCACGTTTAACCTCTTAATATCATTTTTCTCATTTTTAGAAGACTGGGAATAGTTCTGGTATGGAGTAGGCATTTGGAATGTAATAGCTGCCTTTGCATTTGCTATCCTTCAAAGACAACTTATGTATTTCCTAATTCACTGACCATTTGTAAGTATGAGGTTGTGACTCACGGATCAGATTAGTAGAGCTTTGCCTCATATTCTCTAATTTATCACAACATGATGATTTCTTATGAACTATGGAATTTTTTGAGGAAACAAAAACTAAACTTTGATGTAGGTATATGTTTAGAACTGAATTTCTGATGATTCTTTTTGGATGTACCTTCAAGAACAAAATGATCTTACAGTGATCATGAATTTAAAAAATTTTACTGCTCCCTTTTACAGCATTCTAAATAATTTAAACATGGCTTATGTTTTCTATATTTTTCATTAGTATGTATGTTTGCAATACATAGTGAATACATTTATTGTGGTGGAATTGGTGCATATCCATGTTGCACCTTGATCCTTTTTACTTCCCCTTTCACTCCCCTTCTTCTGGCTCCGCTTACCTCCAGATCCCTTTCCCATCCTTCCAAAGAATGAACTTTTTGATTCATTGTTTTGTTACTGTTTTTTGTTTGTTTGTTTTAGTACTGGGGATCGAACTTGGAACCTTGTGCTTGCAAGGCAGGTAGTGGAACCACTGAGCTAAATCCCCAGCCCTGGTTTGTTTTTGTGTTTTGTCTCGGTTTCATTACTTTCTGCTCTGATCTTCATAATTTCTTTCTCTTCTGTTTCAGATTTGGATTGTTCTTGCCTTTCTAGGATCTTGAGCTTTTATTTATTTGGGAGCCTTATGCTTTTTTGTGAATGTATTTACAGTTATAAATTTACCTCTTAGAAATGCTTTCATTGTGTCCTATAGGTTTTGGTATGTTGTGCTTCCATTTTCATTTGATTCTAGAAATTTTTAAATTTCCTCTCCAATTTCTTTTGTGATCCATTGATTATTCAATAATGTACTATTTATTCTCCGTGTATTTTTTTAGTTTTGTGGCTTCTTTTACTGTTCATTTTTGCTTCATTCCTCTCTGTTCTGATGGCCTGCAGAGGATTATTTTAGTTCTTTTGTGTTGATTTTAGCATGCTTCATGACCTAAAATATACAGTAGTATGTTTTGGAAAATGTTGCATGTTGAGGAAAATGTACAGGTATATTCCTTTGTTGGATGAAATACTCTGTAGATATCAATTAAGTCCCTTTGTGCAATGGTATGATGTTTACTTTTTTATCTTGGGGGGCATCTGGCTAATTGTGAGAGTGTGGTGTCAAAGTACCCACCCCACTATAACTATATTGATGTCTTTCTGTCCTTTTAAGTCCCGTAGTTTTGTTTTATGAAGTTGGGTGAGCTGACACTTGGTGCAAGGAAAATAATATTTTATTTTCCATTGTTTCCTTTACCAGTATGTAATGGCTATCTTAGGCTTTTCTGATCAGTTTTGGCTTGAAACCTGCTGTGTCTGAAAATAAAATAGGCACTCCTGCTTAGTTTGGTGCACCACTTGAATAGAGAATCATTTTCTGTGCTCTCACTTTCAGTCTGTGTACACATCTTTTTGGATGAAGTGCGTCACCTGTAGGCAGCACATATACTGCATTTTATTTTTTGATTGGGGACTTGAGACCACTGACATTGAAAGTTATTATTGTAAGGTATTCATTGAATCTTGTCATGGCATTATTTTTACAGTTCTGATTATTTTATTTTATTTTATTTTTGGTACTGGGGATCAAACTCAGGGCTTGCGAAGCAGTCCCCGGCCCTATTTTTCCTTTTTTAACTGCTGTTTGAGCTTTTTGGTGCGGGCAGCCTCCCTTAAGCATTTTCCTTTAAGCATTTTGTACAGTGCTGATTTAGTGGTTATGTATTTCTTTAGGATTTACTTATTTTGGAAAGTCTTTACAATCTCTGTCAGTTCTGAAGACTAATTGTTTAGGATATAAGGGCCTTATTGACAGCTGTTTTCTTTTAAGTCTAGAAAGTCTTTGCTCCCGTGGACTTTAAGGTTTGTGCCAAGAAATCTGCAATTTGCTGATGGGCTTGCCTTTGTAAGTTTCTTTTTTCTCTAACAGCTTTTCACATTTTTTCTTTAGCACTTTTTCCTTTATTCCTATAATTCTGTGGTGGTTTTTTGTTTTGTTTTGAGTCATCTAACTGCTGGTAGATCGGCTTAAATGGTATCTTGTCATTTTTAGGCTATTATTGAAATTATGATCTTCTATATCTACCTTGTCATATATTTCTTATACTGTTCACACAGTGGTCAAATCTGTTATCTTTGATTTCTTATCATACTTTCTAATTCTTTACTGAAGTGGTCATTTATGTCTTGTATTGTCATGCTTACCGTAGTTTGTTGTTGTTTCTTCTTTACATTTATCAAACATTTTATTACTAAAGTCCTTTATTGTTAAACATCTTATGCATTTACTTTAATCTCTTCAAATATTTTGATCATTTGGTTTTTGAGTTCTTTGCCTATCGCTTCTTCTACTTTAGTACCTGTGAACTCAGCTTTGGGAGAGTTAGAGATTTGGGAGTCATCTTGTCTTCTTTCTCAAATTTCTGTTGTTTTTGTGGGTTGAAGATCATTTAGGGTAGAGAAATTGTCTTACTACTAAGGAGATATTTTTAGTTAGATTCTGTCTCCTTGTGATGTGTATGTGGGTTTGGTTATGTGTTGTGCTTTATACCCCTCTTCAACCTATTTGGCATAGTATCTGAGTGTCTTAGTGTCCAGGCTTCTTATGGGGGCGTGATCCCCATCCCTAGTCGTATTTGCAGAGACATGACCTCCTCCTTAGGAGCTGCGGTTAGTGTTCCAGACTGCTTCATTCTTTTCTCTGCATTGTCTTTAATTTCTCCGTGGTTGCTAGTTTGCCTTCTGGTTCTTTCCTTTTATGTTACACTGTAGTTATCATTGCTTTATAAAGCAACTCGGTTACTTTGGTACAGTCCTGCTTGTCTGTATTTGGGAAAGGGCATATTTTTCTACATTGATGTTGTCTATTCGTAAAAAGGAAGCATAAATGCTTCTAAAAATGGGTTCATTATTCCAGGATACCCTGCTGCCTTATTGTGGTCCTTTTACTTCTCTTACTCTTAAAACCCACATTTGCCGGAACAGCAAGCATAGCCAAGGTCCGGACCGCAGCACATGCCCCGAGCTCTCTGCCTATCTCCACCCGCCTGCCCGAGTCCAGCCCGAGTCCAGCCCGCAGCCCCAAGGAGCGGTGCCGACAGCAGCCCCAGCAGCAACGCCGTGGCCGGGTGGAACGCCTACATCGACAACCACATGGCGGACGGGACCAGTCAGGACGCGGCCATCGTGGGCTACAAGGACTCGCCCTCCCTGTGGGCCACCGTCCCTGGGAAAACCTTCGCCAATATCATGCCAGCTGAAGTTGGTGTCCTGGTTGGCAAAGACCGGTCAAGTTTTTTTGTGAATGGGGGCCAGAAATGTTCTTTGATCTGGGACTCACTGCTGCAGAATGGGGAATTTACCATGGATCTTCATACCAAGAGCCCTGGTGGAGCCCCTGTCTTCAAAGTCAAGACGCTAGTCCTGCTGATGGGCAGAGAGGGTGTCCACGGAGGTATGATCCACAAATGTTATGAAATGGCCTCACACCTGCGGCGTGCCCAGTACTGACCTCGTCTGCCCCCACTTCCCACCATTCCCACTCGCTTTTGCACCCCCATGTGTACACAAACATGCACCATTTTTATTTTGGGGGCCAATGCCCCATATCTTTTACTGCTGCCAAAACCACATGGGCTGGGGGCTGGGGCTGGATGGACAGATACCGCCCCCTACCCATACCCCTCCTGTATGTGGTTGGAAAACTTTGTTGTTGTTTTGTTTTGTTTTTTGCTTTGTGGGTTTTTTTCTGAATAAAAAAAGATTCTAACAAAAAAAAAATCCATATTTGCCTTCTATTCTATGAGGGCCTGTCTATATTACACAAATTAGTCTCCAGTAGTGGTAATTGCAGTGAAATATTGATTGACTTCTTTTTAAGAGTAGGAAAACTTTATTGGGGAATAGGAATGGCTCCTGAGAGACAGGAGGGGTCTGAAATGGGTTGCCACTGAGGTCATCTCTCAGAGAATGTTTTATAGAGCGAAGTTAGGAAGTGGGTACAGTGTGCGTCAAACTATAATCAACCAATAAGGTTACAAGTATAGCTGCTTAGCTAGTATTGATCCAAGAGGGAATCGGGCATGTAGCAAGGGCATGTGGATGACATCATTAACTTTGCCTTAGTCTTGTCTTTAGTGTTAGCCTTAATAGTCTTAGTCTTAGTGGGTGGGAAAGAATGAATGGCTCACTCCTAGTGAGATAATGGTCTATTTCTCTGGAAATCTCAGAAGGATGGTACCAATTACAGTATAATCTCAAATTTCCTTTCATCCCTTAGGGGAATGTGTAAATCTGGCTATTCAGAGTTTAATGTCGGCGTCTTGCCTTCTTCAGATGCATCTCCAGCCAATTTTAATGTTCTCATCTTCTACACTAATTTCCTTGAAAGCCCAGTCCCTTTCTGACTGTATATCAATTTTTAATCTAACTTAGCTGCCTATAATACTACCTCTTCTGAGGAGCTATCGCTAACTGCTGTTAGGGGAGAATGGGTGAAGTTTCATTCTAGCTTCTTTGAACTGAGAAAGGTCAGTATAGGGGGAGACCGCTGTCTCCAGAGAGGTAATCTCATGGTCCTTGGATAGAAGTCATGTTGTAGTTTAGCAGTTATGAACTCTTTTTTACAAGGTCAGTCTAGCGGATCCTAGTAAAAGGAGTCTGGCACATTAGTTTTTGGTTCCATCGTGATCACTTGGTGTTTGGCAACCTGTAGGTGAGAATAAACACGTTTTTCCAAGAAATTAAAACACATGACCAAACAAACCATGAGCACTAGAATGGAAAGACATATAGGAGAAGAGACACTCAGACACTCTCTTAAGGGATTGGAATAGTAATTGTAGCCACTGGCTCTTAGACCTTTCTACTTGCTGATTGAGGCTATCTATAAGTCTGATATTTCTTTGTCACAAGTCTCTCCAGTGTTAGCAACAAGAAGATGGTTTTGAAGGTCAGTTTGAGTGAAGGAATTTAAAATCCCTTGCTGAGCTTTTTTTCCCATTAAGTTTATTGGTACCTTTTAAAAAAAAGCAAACAATAGTTACACGTATCATTGGGATCTTGTGCCTTTAAATGATTTGTTTTAGTTCTTATTTTTTCCTCATACCCCTTCCCTCCCTTGCCCTCCCACATCTTTTTGTTATACTTTTCTTCTGGGTAAGACCAAAGTAAAGTGAGACCTGTGTTAATCAAAGTTAACCTCTTGCTGTCTATCAAGGACAGTTAAGGCTCTTCAGGCATTATTTTTGGAACCTCTCAGCTCCTGTCAGTGTCAGCTGGCAGGATGGGTCATGGTCTTGCTTGACCATGTAGCTTCCTGTGAAAGCATGGGAGATTTTTTTCTCCCTCTTTGATGACCCTCCTTTGTGGCACACTACATTAGTTGACTCCTGTTCTCTGGGGTACTACAGTCTCCCTGCTCAGGAAGTTGGGTGATTCACCAAAGTTGTAAGATCTTGTGGACCAGGTCTTCTCATGTCCTGGGTCCTTGTTGACCTTGGAGGGTCAAGGCCAAAATATTAGCCCAGTTATCTTTCTAGTTTTGGTCTCCAAACCTCAGTGTTTGAACACCCAGAAGAGAAGATCAGTCACATCAGTATGATAGTGGGAGCAGTAGGTTTAATTTCATGATCTTATCTAGATAGTGAACACCTTGAAATATATAGTATGACTGATGAACTGTTTTTTCTTTACCAGTCATGGTTGTCTTAGAAGTTGGATCCCTGAAAAATGTTAACAAATAACAATTATGAAATTTTACAACAAAACTTGAGATCAAGGGTCACGTAGCATTTTAGCGTGACAATCACCATGCATCATTATCTCTGAAACACATTCAAATGATTCCAGCTATCCAAAAAAGGGGAGCCATGGTATTAGGTGGCTTGAGCTTGTGCCCTTTAGTTTTGAATAAGAGCAGTTCAGAAATCCCCCCTTACACTGAATGTGTTTTGGATCTCTGAAGTGTTATGTTTATGGAAATAGCTCCCTCTGGTCTCACCCAGAGGTTGGTTCTTTCCACAAGGTCGCAGGTTGTAGGTTCAGATTCCTGCACCCACTGGACAGGAAGCTACTTAGGCATGGGCAGGAACTTCACCCTTGTTGAGTCTTCCTGAATGAGCCAAACTCCAAAGTCTTCTCTTCTCCAGAAATGGGGCCGTGTGTTCCTTATCTAAGATGATTTCCTGTCTGTGGTATTTTTATAGACAAACGCTCATTTTCTGTAGCTTCAACTTGAGAGTTTCAGTTATTGGAAAGGAGAAAAAGGCTGACTAAAATCCTTCAGGGTCTGTATCTCTATCTCTATCTCTGTCTTTATCTCCTCCCCCCATTTTGAGCAGAAATGCCTCAAAAAACAGTGACAGGAAAAGACGAGTATGAGACACTCTTCCCATGAGTTGTCACCCTCAGCTTAGGAAGGTGAAAGCAAGGAATCTCAAGAGTTGATTTCTTCCTCACCAGTGGAGGGTCAGACTGGAAAGGAAACTGAGGCAGAACAGGCTTGATATTCCCCTCCATAAGCATAGAAGAGGGATCAGGCCAGACTGTTCCAGTGAATCTTGTCCTCCTACATTTTACAGTAGCATCTATAGCATGTTATAAACTCATATTTTGGTTAAAGTTTCAAAGTCCAGAAGGGGAGTTCTAATTTACCTTTCTCCAGTTCTACTGTAACGCACCATCTCGTAATTTTCAAACAAGTCAAGCAAGGATTACAAGTAAATTCAGCAACTAGTAGGTTCTAAGTACGGCGTATATGCCAAATAGGACTACAAGGACCTGGCTACAAAAATAAAATGTCCCATCAAAGAAAGAGAAGCATCATAACCTCTATATGCTCTCAACTTAAATCTTGTACCATTTTAACAAAAAGACAAGGCACAAGCAACTGACAGACAAAAAGATGACAATTTTGATTACCTAAATGAATCTCAATCCAGAATCCAGTTAAAATATTTACGGGTGCCAGGAAACCAAAGCAAACTTACCTCCTTCCAAAGTTCTCAGTGGAACCTCCAAGATGATACAGGAGAGAGATAATTTGCCACCTGCTGAATGTCAGATGTGCCCAGTTTGTGTCCCCTAAAATCGAAGAATAAATTCCAAAGGACAAAGGAAGTTAAGAGTAGGAAAGAATTATTGGGGATTAGGAATAGCTTCTGAGAGACAGGAGAGCTCTTGAGCAGGTTGCCCTACTAGTTTTTGAATCTTTGGTAGGAAATAATGTGATTTATGTTATTTCCTTTATTTATGTTATTGTGACTCATTTAAGTAATCAAAATTGTCATCTTTTTGTTTGTCAGTTGCTTGTGCCTTGTCTTTTTGTTAAAATGGTACAAGATTTAAGTTGAGAGCGTGTAGAGGTTACGATGCTTCTGTTTCTTTGATGGGACATTTTATTTTTGGAGCCAGGTCCTTGTAGTCCTGTTTGGTATATATGCTGCGCTTAGAAGGGAAGAGCATGGACAGTTACTGCTTTACTCTTTAAGAGCCAGTCTTGTCTTTATGCCAGAGATTTCTCAGTGACTAAGCAGAGAAATTTGCTTCTATGGTATCATAAAATTCAAAATCATAAATCTAGTTTTGTGATGTTCCTGGAGCACGGTTAATGTTGGCTGGATGTCTGCTGCACCTGGTGTCTCTTGAATGAGCTTTGTTGTGGTCACAGTTCTTTTCATCACATGGCTGTCAGTATCTATGAGAAGGCTGCTACCTCTGGACCTTTTCCATCCTGTCACTACCGGGAATCTACTTGCTTTCAGTGTTCCATTACGAGGAGTGGGCTGGAGTGGTTCTCTCCAGTGGTATCCATTTGTCCATTACTGGGCTAGAAAGCCCCATTGTTGAAGCTTACCATGGCTTAAAGTTACAAGACCTTTAGTTTTTACTCTGTAATCTATTTCCCCTACCCAGCCTTAAATTTTTCTTGTTTTGATGGCCAGTTTTATAAACAGGTGCTGAAGAATGATTAGATATCTGAACCCCAAGATTGATTTTGAGATCTTTATCTCTAAATCAAAACTTTAATTTGAAATTCTAAATTCATGTAGCTTTTGGGACTATTTATGTGGTAAGCCCTCTTTAGAGACGCATTGTTTTGTACTGCACTGTCTCCCCATAGGTAAGATCTCTTGGAGAAACTTGTTGACTACTAGAGGAAGTTGTGTTTCCGTGGAACTTGTCCTCTTTTTATCAAGACACCCATTCAATTTTAATGACTGTTCTCTGTGTTAGGTGGACAGGTGCTAGGCTGAATCTTCAATGTCTAGGGGAGTGTTTGATTACTAAGTCTAGATCCTGTGCCTTTGTGCTGACTGTGATGGGGTCAAGAAGAGGAAGGACCCATTTCTGTCTTCAGCTTCTGAAGTGAGAATTAGAGCTCTGTGTCCTTCCAAAATTTTCAGAGGAGAATTCCACAATACCTGCAAATGCATTTGGATGCCAACAGCTTAATAAGAACAGCAAAAATTTCAGTTATTCATCAGAGGTTTCTCTTCATTCTTGTGATCTGAAGGTCCTGAGTTTGAATTTTAGAGAGGACAAGGAAGGGTGCACTCGGATTTGAACCCAGGCACATACCTTTCTATTGAGCTATATCCTGTCCTAGTTTAGAGGAAAATAAAAACAAACTTTTCAAGGCCATTACACTTTTTAAGTGAGATGATGTATATTAAATGGTAGTACTGCCTGTGTACACTTAGTACACATTTGATAG